AGATTTGCATCCCGCTAATTCCCGCCAGTGTGAACGCGCCTATAGGGTCACGGCAAACGTGTAACAACTCATGATAACAGCTCATAGCAACTCACAACAATCTGCATATTGATATATTATTTAGAGGACGTAGATAAATGATGGCATTATGTGCATGGCATGCTTGTGCTTTCAGCTAAGGTAAGATACCTTACACGAGAGTAGTGACTATAAGAACTCGTGACAATAATTCACCTCAAAATTGACGCTGCCTCCGATGCACGCGCATGCGCACGCATCTCCCGCCAATCGGAACACCTCGTCATTACTCCCATTATTCACGACGAACTTGGGCTTGCAGGGATTGAAGATTTCGTGAATAGTTCCAATCAAGTTTCCACGCGGTGCGTACACTTTCATTTCCTAGTGGAAGTAACACTGGGGCTCATATTACAAATCACCATAACGATTCACGATCACTTTTCACTCGAAAGTACGTGATAACGAATAAAGCTTCAACGCTATAATAAAAGATACACGAGAATGAAATAGAAATGTTTAATTTAATTTAATAAAAATTTAATTTCAAATTGTTTTTCATAAAAAGTAACAAAAATATCACACAATTATGATTACAACCTTTATTATTTATTTTAGTGTGACTACAAATACGATGATATAATAATGCAAGTGATGTATATATTGCAGTAAGGCATACTTTTATTAAATTAATTATGGATTTAAGCTTCATTGTTGTTTGCAATTCATTTATAACATATGTTGAAGTTCAACATGTTATAGATTTATATAACAATAATTACATGCAACACGCAAGCTTATATTATCCTGTGATGAAATTGTATACTTATTGTAAATTTAGATACGAAACTCCTGGGGTGTGGGTGCACAAATATTTTTATTGTGCATGCGCATAAGTTACACAAGACGATTTACAGCCGTGATCGTATGACCGGAGGAAAATAATCTCAAAGATTAAGATTTGCGATCATTTACTTTTGGTATTGCCAATATTATGGGAATGGTTTTACCTGCAAGCAGTTGCCACAGAAGCAGCACATAACAGATGTACACTTCAAAGGTCTCTCCATGTATATAACCTCTTTACCCGATGTGTCAAGTATTTTCATAGCAAAACTGCGGATGTTGTCGCAGCATTGCCTCCCCCACATACCAGACACTACAAACGAGACGCTTTTGTTATTGAAAATTCATTTTACCAAGCTTCAGTCAATAGTTTACATGTTTACTTTTTAATTATTTATTTAGAATAAATATTTAGATATCTCCTTATCTCCCTATATCTCCCTATCCTCTTTACATATTTTCTTTATAAACTAGGTTATTGTAACCGTTGTTATAACGTGGTAATTTTTAATGTTACGCTATACATAGCTGTTGTTGCCAATGTCCGTAGAAATGAAATGAATTATATCCACCTGTGAATAATTGTATTCTAGGCGCAGATTTATCTACGAGTATTAAATTATCATAAAATATCATGACCGCACGTTAAAGTATTATAATAAATAGCAACAATACCTTCAACGGCGAAATATACCTGTTGTCCCATCGAGTTAACTATCTTGTACTTGTTTTGCGTTTCCCAACCTGTGAAAACTAATGGACACGGAAAACGAATGAGGCGCAGCTGAAACGTCACATGTTACTAACAATAATAATATAATAATAATAATGTGGAAATAAATTGAAAGAACTTACTACGTATTTAAGAAATTATTAGGCCTGCTAAACGAGCAAGCGATATATACGAACGCATATTTACTTTCGAGCATCTCTTTCTGCTTATGGACAAGCAGCTGGTCCACCTGACTCAGGTAATCTAAACCATCGTCTCCTAAAAATAAAGCATATTTATATTTTATCAACGATATCGATAAAAACACGACCATAGTGATATTTTATCTGTGGGATAAAATCGACCTGCCACGTGCGGGGCGTGCAAGCAGCCCGTATTGACCGAGAAAATAGGCCCTAAAGGGTATCTGCATAATCTGTCGTTTTTTTAAGATAGCGATATGTTATACAAACAAATATTTAGGGCCCAATTTATTGGTCTAGCTCCTGTCATATCCGCCGATTTTATTGTAATAACCATGCACGTGCAACAACGACAGCAACTAGCGTTTCCTCGCAAGCTGTATCGATACTTCGGCATCATTTACATTTTCGTATTTTGACCAATGGACGAGACAGACTCGTCGGCACTCGCTATCTCAGGCACTTGGGACAGAATCAGTAATGACTGAAAATAAAAAGAACGCACATTCACAAATATTATCCCTCAATTACGCTTCCACTGTTGTGTCACTGTATATCAACTTGCTTTCACAAAAACGAATGCGGAACTAGCCGCTCCCGCACTCGCCGCTTCGAGTGTGCTGTGTCGCCATGGTAATGATAGAATTAGGAGTTAATGAGACAAAGTCTCATTAACTCCTGGTAGGATATATATGTGCGGGAGCGCCTAGTTCTGCATTCGTTTTTGTGAAAGCAAGTTGATATACAATGACACAACAGTGGAAGTGTAATTGAGGGGTAGTATTTGTGAATGTGCGTTCAGATTATTTTCAGTTTTTACTGACTCTTTCCAAGTGCCTGTGCTCGCTATATATATGCGAAGTGGTTTCCGCGTAGAAATATTTTAAAAGACTAATGCTTAGAGACCCTTACTAGGTATTAATTCTATGCGTGTCTCTGCTGACACTACCTGCGGGGCGAAGGGCGGCCAATCTAGTCCAGTTTATACGTGGTGTTCATGCGTATACACGTCAAATTGCCGATTTCGCGACACTTGACACTTGACATTGTCTTTTAGAACGTCTCATCACGATGCTGATTGGCTGGGGCTGCCTTTCGATCACGCCAATCGAATAAACCAATTACTCGATTGCTGCGCAATCACTTGCGCTCTCCGGCCTTTATTGTGGCCCTACAACCGATATCAGGAGTAGCTATTAGAGGAAATCCTCTTAACTATATTCTTATCTTCCTGTTTCCCATTATCTCCTATATTCTCTTTTTATCTACAATTATTTCTCTCATATTTTTTCTCTTATCTACTCGAGATAGATATCTATATACACTATTGTGTGTTATAGTATGTCTATAGAGCATACTACACTGGAGCCGCAGTATGTCGCGCAATATCTAGTGACCTGGTTACAGGCAGTCATTATAGCCACGGGCTATATACATGGCTATATTAGCCAACGGCGTATATACATGACGTTGGCGGTATAGTTCCGAGCGACCTTGTATAGAGACGGGAGATCGGCTGCGTGGCATATAGCCAGCTGCATGCATGGCTGTTCGTCGCGGTGGGGATTTTACTGCGCGTGCGGTGTTAATTCGAGCCGGTATCTGGGTAGAATAGAGAGCGACCCGCGATTTCACTCTATATCAGGGTGTTGTTGTCAGGAATTAACACATCGTAGCTCTACAATAATAATTAATACGCACATATTATTTGCAATATATTATTTGCAAAATGTTACAACAGAAGATAATAATAAAAATATAATGTAATATAATTATATATATATGTATATATATGTATATATATATATATATATATATATATATATATAATTATATATATATGTATATATATGTATATATATATATATATAACGGCTAGAATATTTCTGAAACGGCCCCATGTTTGTATAACTGTCCTCATGTACGATCATTTCAATATAGTGGTTACGCGCTGACCTCAAGGCCAAATTAACCTGAAGGTGGAAAGAATGACGATTATCGAGTCAGACAGGAAGCGTTAGGACTGAGTGTATGCACACATCGCATGCCCAGGCTAAGAATTAAGACACTCCTATAGCTCTCACGACAGCATGCGCCACTATACTGCTGCCTGCACCACTGAACAGGCAGTCCATCTATACGCACGCAGGCTTATAGAAGAGTAATCAGGGACGTAGCTAATAACTCATGTTGCCTGGGGGCAAAGCAACTGCACAACACGCCTGCGTTTGTGGGGCAGTTGATCGTGTGCAGTGCGTCATTGACCACGTAATAGCATCTCCGTTGATCTGGCGGGTAACTGCCCTCCCCCTGCACCTCTCCCCGCCTAGCTACGACCCTGTAGTGTAATTATGGTGGTTGGTTCTAACCGTTCTAACAGTGTCACCACGGTTTTGACAAAAACGCGTTCTATTTCGGCCGAGCAATCGGGTAAAGACGATGAAAGATTTCCAGAATTTTGATGATTTCGTGACGTGATCTAAACAAACCGGAAAAATCTCTTGCTTGCGGCAGTCTAAGCAGTCTTTTGCACGCAGACTAAACATTCTCCTACACGCAGTAGCAGAATTCACAGCCAAAGAGGGGCCAGTAACTTTCAACTGCCCCTCCCAAAACAAATAACAAGTTATCATCATGTAGAATTAAACTAATCGATAAACAAGAGATTATAGTAATTACCACTATAGGATACTACATATAGGACAAATTAGATATCTATTAAAAAATTAGAAATCTTATAAACCATGACGAGTTATTTTTGGTTTCGTATGGTTTTTACATATAACTCTGCTCTCACGTGCTCCCTGAAATGTCAGCTTTCAAGTGCTAATGATGCTGGCTGCGCAGAGTTATGGAGGAGAGCGATCGGTGCACTAACGCATACTAAGCTTCTTGTGCTGCCTATTATGCCAGGCGCACGCGTGAGTAATTTTACTCAAGTAAAATGATGCATGCGTCAAAATACTCAACGAAAATCCGCCGCACACGTGAGTATGTTGACGCATGCATCATTTTACTTGAGTAAAATTACTCACGTGTGCGCCGGACTTTAGGCGTTCAAACGCAGACCGAACATTCGCAGTTTGCCTCGCAGTCCGTGAATACCCTACTGGCGTAGCTTTCGAAGTCTTGTATAACACAGTATAAGCATACCTAGAAGACGGCGTGACTCGCACGGGATTACCCGTATTAGCTTTGGATATTTTTGGTTAGTAATCGAGCTGGCAAAAAAATGAGTGCTTTAGATAATTTACTTACGTGCTGCACCGTTCGAACGAGGTTGATCGGAAATTGCTGATTTCATATCCATTGATAACGTCGTAATCAAATTCGGATCTTTATTCTAATTTTCTAAACAATACAAAATGGTAGCTCGAACTAAGCCAAACTAAAAAACACGCACGCCTTTTTTTGATTCGCTATAGCGGTTATAGCGCTATAGCTATAAAGTTATGCCAAGGAGTGTCTATTTGCAGTAGATATCTACTGCAAACAGACACTCCCTGGCATGACTTTCTAGGCGTTCTGGACTTTTGCTACCACACGGTTAGTGTCCGCGTATACCGCCAGCTTTGATAGAGTAGACTTTGCTCGATCTACGCCAAGGCACAGCAGTATGTCAACACCACCGAACCTAACATTTACTCTGAAGTGTTTGGACTGATACAGCGAAACTCATGCAGCAGTGATAATGCAGAAACTGTTTTTAAACACACCACATTCGGGACGCTCCCTAGCTACCAAAACTAAGTTATTTGACTATCGCAAAGTAAACACTAATTATTGTATTTGTTTAGTGAATGTTTTGTTGAATTGGCCATGCGTCATTAATAGTTTAGTAGGTTTCAAACAATTTCGACAACACAAACAGAAGAAAATTTGTCATGATTTTCTGTGCAAATAACCAGTGATCTTGACCATCCTGACGATTGTACCTTTAGAACAAATTAAAAAAAGAGCCGGGGACACGTTTCGACTACATGTCAAGAGGAACATGGCTTCAGGAAAAAATGATTCAAAGGCTGGCGGTCACACACCCGCATCGAAAAAGAGTGAGAAAGAAACGAGATGTCATTGAGAAACTCGGGCAACCAAAGACCACATAGTCACCGCTTATAAATATTACAGAAGCAATCTAAAACACACGTCAGAAACGTAACCAGGACTATGAAAAAAGACAAGAAGATATCCTGAGTCTCAACCACGGAAAGCAGCAGTAAACCCAGGATCAAGCCACGACAACCACCTCTACACACACTCACGCAACTCGCGAACCCACAACACACTATTGCGGCAAGACAAAAGACCCACTCGTACAAAATGAAGTCAAGCCGAGTACCAAAGCATAAAGATGCACCGAAAGCACACAACCACGCACCACAGCCACAAACAAACACCAAGGACAACCAACAAACCCAAACCCACAACAGAGATCACATCTCGACACCCACTACCACCTCACGTCACCTACCACACACATCCCGCTCACCACACCCACCCAACCCCAACTCTCACTACCGGCAAGGACGGACCCTATCACCACCTAGCACCTACGACGCCCCAGCCTAAACAGCCACAACCGCCATGCAGCCCAAGCCAACAACGCCAACCACATCGGACTACCCCACAGTCCTCCGTCACCGAACGAATGGAAAAGCACCTCTATCCTTTTCACGCCCCCAGCACCCCCAAAACAGCACCCCCCAACAACACCTACCCATCACCGCACCCGCCGCACTCACTCGCTAAGATTCGAGCAACCACTAACCCGATAGTCCTGCACAACCCCCATACCACCAGATGTAGGCCTCACAATTAATTCCATGCACCCCCCCAATCACGAAAGCCCCACCACTTCAATCACGCCCCAACCCAAACCCACCCCACCCCCCCCCAACCCCCCCACCCAACACACCCAACAACACCCACACCACCAGACCACACCCACACACGCCACACCCCACACAAAGCCAACAACGAACACGAACACCCGCCACGACTTCATAGGTCTCACCGACATTACCGCAACACTACACCCCAGAAGACCATATATACACCGCCACTTACGCCAACTAAAAGAATCAAGTTCTACCCACCCACCCAGGGCCCCACCATGCCAAACACCCGCCGACCATCACCATACCAGACCTTTTTTAATATATTTGGAAAGATAGGTCCGACGGAAGCACCAAACACAAGAGAATCACCCATCCACATACTAACCCTTCGCCTCCGGAAATGACTCTTATCGACTTTCTGGAATTTATCAGGAAGAGGAAATCAAACTACCCGAACCCCACCTACTGTCAGTACCCTCCGTGCAAGATATTGACAAGGCTGCAAACCCAAGCTACGCGACAGAAACCCACCAAGATCGGAATTCCCACCCACCTACCCGACCTAGGAAAACCGACATACACCGTATTCATCCACAGATATAACCACCATCCGCACCATCACAGAACGTTCCCTGCTTCTTCTGTAAGTCTACCTTCCGTGGCTTGTGATTGGAGTATCAGCAGCATGCAGTACGTGGGCTGCCAGGTGGGCGGCCAGGCGGACAAATCCTCTCGAGAATTTTGGCGGAGGCGTCCATTGAAAGCTCTAAGATTATTTGAGCCACACACTTCATTTCGGTCTGGTTTTCGTATAATCGACAGCATAGCAGGTGTTCCACTGTCTCTTTTTCATGACACATCCCGCACATACCTCCCGACGTACCCCCCACCCGCCGAGGCTCGCCATGACAGACCGGCCACACACAAAGAGTACCCCGTCTCCAACAAACCCCCTAAGAACACTGCACCGGACCGCCGGCGAGCAGCCCTATATTAAGAGACCGCAGACCAACACGAACGTTCTTGGAATGTCCACGACTGCTACTGCTATATTGGCTACATACGTTGATTTCATTATACGATTATGAATTTGCGTTATTTCGTTATCTTTATTCTGAGTTGTCTAACGTACATAGAATAACATTTACGAACATTACAATATTTACATCGGAAAAATAAGACGTCAAATAACTTTTTTGCCAGACGAATTCGAACTACTCTCTGTCTCCCTTACACCTTTGCACAATACCGACCTCTACTGACTACAGGCTGCGTAGGGTCTATGTCTCCCGCCTGGGTTGGCGGAAACGTACCCTGGTACTATCTATATATGCCGGGCCCGACTCGCCTACTTCACTAACGAGTCTAGGGAGTCGCCTACGCCTACTCCCTAACCCTAACCATATCAGTTACCAGTTACCAGGGTACGTTCCGGTATACCAGACCGTACCCAGGGTACGTTCCGGCAGTACCCAGGGAGACCCCTATCAGCGACACATTTTGACAGGGGACAATTTGACTTGCAAGATGGTCTGGTCAGTAGGCGCGGGTAATTTATTGGACATAAAAACAATGAAACCAAAATGATGCTGTCTACTATAAATCAGTGTAATAGGTATAGTTTGAATTTTATTCATGGCACTCATAAAACGGTACATCTAGATAGAGTGGAGAAACGAATGGCGAAAAAATCTATATAATATCTTTAAAGAGAAAAAAATCATGGAAGATTTTGGTTTTAACACAGGCTTGATTAATAAAGCTCAGTTACAACGAAACACACTCACGGGTTCGGGACCCTACGAGAATTACTATGCAATACGCCATAAAACTCGTGCATGGAGGCAAATAAATCAACCAATGCCTCTGTAAACACTGCTTACTCCGTTTCCTATTTAATTATGTAAGAACACTAGTGATGCTTTTTTATACGCAACGTAGATCTTAGAAATAGAATACGTCTGTTTTATTGTCAATTTCCAATCGCCCTTTAATTAAAACACAATAAAAGACAGGCGCAGCATCAAAACCATAGGATAAATACGTACCTGGATCTGTGTTTAGATATATATCGCAAACCCGTTACAATATAATGACAGTTTAATATGGTTTAAAGCGGTGCGGGTGGTTCACAAAATAACTTTTTCCTTAAGTCCATATTAGTCCACTTTAGCTGAGAGGGTCTATGTCCCCCAGGGTACTGCCGAAACGTAACCTGGGTACGGTCCGGTATACCGGAACGTAACCTGCAGCCTGGTACTATCTACTATGACGGACCGTACCTCACCTACTCCACTAACGAGTCTAGGGAGTCGCCTACGCCTACTCCCTAACCCTAACCATATCAAATAGTTACCAGGGTACGTTCCGGTATTATCGGACCGTACCCAGGGTACGTTCCTGCAGTACCCTGGGGGACATAGACCCTATGAGCCCCACGCTGCCCTACATCACGGAAGATCAGGTACCGGGTAGCTCAATACCTACTCATGACACTATCTCACGCTAGTCATTACGTTATTTCAAACTACCTCTAGCTCTGCATAGAATTTTGCATATTGCTAGTTCATTGAATAATCTTTAGAACACCAGTATTTCTCGCTTCATGAGAGAAATGAGATTTTCTTTCTTGAAAGCATCCCCAAAATATTACCATGTATTTTATATTATGAACGCAACATTTACGAGTTTCTTTTCGTCCATTATCACTGTGTATCAGCTTCAGCATCTTAGGACGTGAGATACGGCAACATATATCATTAGTACTTTATGAGCTACTACTGTAGCTGCTCGATGTATCACAGGTTAGCCGAAATTCCCCAATAGAACACTTGCTATACGCGTTTATAAAAATACCAAACACCGCGAACAATGGACGCCGTGCAAAAGATAATTTCATGAAATGGTGACAATCAAAACACGCATCTGAAAAAATAGACCGCTAGTTGTCTGCTATTGCAACGAGGTACACCAGGTATAAAAACAGATAAAGAAAATAAAGCGTTTGTACGTGACAAATAATTATGCCCAAATCATCAGTTATTGGGCAAAGAGATCGTTCACGTTAATATATTTTAACATTAATTTCCTGTTAACGAAACTGGGTTTCCACAATATAATTCATCAACTATTATGCATAGATCTGTTATTTCACTTCTTATTTCACTGTTATTTTCTTCTTAGGTCACTAGAATATTTGCGAACGAATTTTTAAAAGCTTATCTCAACAACACGTAGAAATATTACTAGATCTGATGTGTCATTAGTTTTCCCCTACAAAAATTGCATTACACATGATAGAGATTACCAATATTTGTACCATCTCAATATAATAGGAGTGAGACATCTGGAAGCTGTTGTATGAGTACCCATTTTAAAACACACACAAACGCACGCACACATATATATATATATGGTGTTTTATATATACAGGATAGAACAAATTTAAGCACAACATTAGGAATTTTACATGATATAATACTGGGGCAAACACTTAAACATGGGTTAAGGCCTAGGAGGTTCTAGGGGCATGCTACACCGTAAACTTGTTTACCCCCAGTTTATAATAATCTTGGGCTTGTTGTTAGAATCATAGGTAGTTATGCCACTATAATGTTGAGATGTCATAAACTTTGAAGTGAGATGTCATTCAGAAGGTATGACATTTTGACTCATGATAGTTTGGCTCATAGGGTCTATGTCCCCCAGGGTACTGCCAGAACGTACCCTGGTAACTATCTGATATGGTTTAGGGTTAGGGTTAAGGTTAGGGTTAGGTTAGGGAGTAGGCGTAGGCGACTCCCTAGACTCGTTAGTGGGTAGGCGAGGTACCGGTCCGGCATATTAGATAGTACCAGGGTACGTTCCGGCAGTACCCTGGGGGACATAGACCCTCTCAGCGATAGTTTGTTTCTCAACGACAGGTTCCTGAAGGATACACCAATCATAAAAATTACAGTACAAGCAAAAACGTGAGAACAGTGGATCCATCGAGAATTCTTATCCCTGAAATAATGGGCTTAGAAATGAAAAGTTTCAACATTAAATGAAAAATTTCCTCCGAATAAAGCGCATTTAAAGAACACAGGTTTTCAATCGACATCTTCGCTTGGCATATAAAGTGAAGAAAAAAAACATCTAAGTTTTAAGTCTATTCTTAAGAAAATATAGAAATATGTTTTCTATTAATACATAGTAAAATATAATTGCCAAAAACAGATAACCGAGAACTAAGACGCTAAAGTAACGTTTTAATTCACCCCGGTCAGTAGACCCATCCTTCCAACTAATGAAAGGTATGTTACAAGACATCACAAGTGACGCCTGTTACTTATTGCTGCGACTTCGGTTGACCACCTCTAGCCGTTAAAAACTCCCAATTTTAGTCCATTCAGTAATAGTACCTTCAGTCTAATGCATTCACAATAAGTTATAAACCTGGTCAGAGTTTGGCCTCTGCTACCGTTGGCATCACTACCCATTGCATCCAAACCCATACCAATGCCCAAACAATACCTATAAAAGGGAATGCTAATACAGGTCTGACTAAGCTGTTGTGAAACAGAGCCCTGACTAAACAGTGATTGCGTTTAACAGAAGAATTACACAAGAAAGGCTTTAGAGAGCCAGGGATGGGTCGCATTACGAAGGTGACAACACAATATACGATCAACATCAGTTATCGATAATACACATGCATATTCTAACAAATTATTAATGAAAACATTTACCCAAAGCCTAATAAACACTTTAAAAATTATTTAAAATCAATCACTAGAGCAATTATACAACTGGTAATATCATAGAGAAATGCAATAATTAAATTGACTATATATATGCTACGATCTGCAGAATATATATGTGGGGAAACGTTTTTTGGCATAAAAAGAAAAAACAGCACTAAATATTTTCTCAAGCTGTCGTCCGATAATAATGTAATTATACTAATTAAAACCCCAAAATTAAGGTGACTTAACTTATTATTCAGGTATTTGGTTATTTAGCACATTGTTCTTATTAAATTAAGTATACACTATTTTCGTTGCAATAGGAATTGATACTTCATTACAATGCAGTTGCGTAGGAGTAGTCACCCCTACTATTACACTCCTGCACTCATGTGGGAGTAAAGAATCTATGTGTCATAGTCAATGCTTTCGATTTCATCTAGCACTATTAGAACATCGATATAATAAATAAAACATCTAACAGGTAATGTATTCCAATTTCAAATACAGTGCAAAACAAGCACCTTTAAACTGAAAACACAGAAAAACCTCAAGTATAACTGAAGACAATTTACAAAATATATGCATAAGAGCTAGCTAATAAGCTCATCTTTTTCAATGGAGGGAAAGATTACCAACTGGTGCTCTAGCCGTTTCTTTCAAAGTAGACAAAGTCCTGAAAATAGATAAGAGCAGATATAGCACGTATAAATACATATTTGCACAAAAAGCGACACCCTTCACATGAAATGTGATGGCCAAAAACTGCTACAAACCTGCATAAGAAAACCTAATTCAGGCCCGCAAGTAAAGCAGAATATTCTATCATAACCTTCTTAATATTCCTTGAAGATAACATTTTCGGTTATGCTAATGCATGGAAATGCATTGATAACAAAATCTTTCACATCTGTGTAATTTTTACATACATACTTGCTGTTTTTTATTGTATTTTTCATTAAATTTGGCTCATCAAAC